CATAATACTGTGACATTTGAAGGCAAATTTGACCTCTGGTTTTCTTATAAAAGATAGGATTACAGGAAAAAAAAAAAAGCTTGTGTTCTAGTGACTTCATCTTTTCAAACCAAGGAAAGTTAAAACCCAAAAGAACTTACATAGCAAGCTTATTTTTAAATTCTCTTTTACTAAATTCTCATGTACTGCCATCAAATAAGCCAATTTTGGAAAAATAGAAGAACTGCAGAGAAAACCTATATCCTTTTTTTTTAAAGATTTTATTTATTTGAGAGAGAGAATTAGAGAGAGAGAGAGCACAAGGGGGGAGGGACAGAAGGAGAAGTAGACTCCCTGCCAAGCGGGGAGCCTGAAGCAGGACTTGACCCCAGGACCCCAGGACTCCAGGATCATGACCTGAGCCGAAGGCAGTGGCTTAACCAACTGAGCCACCCAGGCGCCCCAGAAAACCTATATCCTTTGTTAAAAGCAGACAAGTACTAGCTTATTAAGGAAGAGCCTTTCATGTTTTCAGACCACCTCTACTGAACAAGTTCTTTTTAAACTTCAAAAATACTGTTTTTAAATAAACAAAACTCTTCCTGTTCTCTAATCTTTACAACACTGAAAATTTGTACCCAAATTGTTATAACGATAGTCTAAAGATTTTCCCCTTTTTACTTTTCTTTTTTTTTTTTGAGAGCAAGCGAGACTGTGTACGCACGTGCGAACAAGGCAGGGGGCAGAGAGAGAATCTTAGGCAGGCTCCACACCCATCGCAGAGCCCAATATAGGGCTCAAACTCACGACCCTAAGATCATGACCTGAGCCGAAATCAAGAGTTCCATGCTTAACCCAGTGAACCACCCAGACGCTCCATTTTTCTTTTTACTTTTTTGTGCCTCCTTTTTAATATTTGATCATAATTTCCTTTGAAAATGATTCGGTATCAATTTAAGTCCAAAACTAAGAACTTTGTTTTAGTTAAAACTGGTATTTGTTACAGGTGTTTAAAATCTGAAATACAGGGGTGCCTGCATGGCACAGTTAAGCATCTGACTCTTGGTTTCAACTCAGGTTGTGACCTCAGGGTCTCAAGATTGAGCCCCATGTGGGGCTCATTTGCTTGAGTTTCTCCCTCTCCCTCTGCTCCTCCACTCCCTCCAACCCCAAACTCTAAAATAAATAAATCTTTTTTAAAAAAATCTGAAATACAAGTCTTTTTTCTAGACAAATTGATTCATATTTCATAATATTTCTTTGTTTGATATAGTGCCTTAAAACATTACCCTGCCTAGTAGTTTAGTTTTATATTTTTTATTTTATTTAGTTTTAATATTCCTTTCATATTTTTGTATTCTCAGAAATTAAGTTACTATTGATAAGGATCAGAGTTGACAAGACTATGTCAGGTGTCAAAAGTTATCTGTTCAGCATTTTTTTAAAATGTTTTATTTATTTATTCATGAGAATCAGAGAGAGAGAGAGAGAGGCAGGGGCAGAGGGAGAAGCAGGCTCCCTGCCTAGCAGGGAGCCTGACGCGGGGCTCGACCCCAGGACCCCGGGATCATGACCTGAGCCGAAGGCAGACGCCTAACCATCTGAGCCACCCAGGCGCCCCTCTGTTCAGCATTTTAAAACTATTAATTCCAAATGTCTATGTAAGAAATCAAAGTTCCTAATTTTAATCACAGTTTCTATAATGTATACCACATACAATTCCATTTTTACTGACTGGAGAGAGAAGTTGGGGTGGGAGGAAAGGAAATACTACTTAACACATAATAAAAGTGAACACTAGCCTTTGTGTGAACATCTTGAGGAGATTTTCATTTTTATAGAAATTCATTTTATAGAAATCTTCACAAATCAAATTCCAATTCTAGTTAATAAAATGAATTTCTATAGAAATGAAAATCTCCTTTAGGAGTAGGTTTGTGTCAAATCAAAATTACTCCTTTTGGTGTTGCTTTCCCTCTTTTGAAACAGTGACCCATTTTATGTGTTCTGTTTGGTTAATAAGTGCTTCTTCCAGATGTCCTGTTTATGTGAGAAGTGAAGGGAACTACTCTGCAGCAGAGTGTCCCTCTTGGGAGGTAAATGAAATAGTTCACACAAGCCACGATTTACGTCTTCTTTGAGAAAGATGTTCTGTGGTTCTTTAGTCCTCCAAGATGATCAGAGGGCAAATATTATAGATTTGGTGTAACCTTCCCCATTTTTGGAAGACATAAAACAAAATACAATCTTTCCAACAATACAACATATTGCCTACTCTGCACCAGACATTGAGTACTATGGAAGATACTATCTGGTATCTGGTTCCTGCAGTCCCCAAGGACATTTACAAATAACCTATCGTGCAGCAGGAAATTACAAGTATCCTACGAACTATGAGTTTAGGAGAGATTACATCCAGCTACAATTGAAGCTGGGAGGGGGGAAGTGGGGGAGAGTTCAGTGGTAACTTCACGAAGGATATGGTAAGATAGGAAAAGGGCAGGGACTCTTGGAAAGGGGAAGTAAGGACAAACTCTAAGCCTCAGAGCATGTTTCAACTTCTTTAGAGAAGAGAGCACGTGAAAAAGGAGCTTTAACATTAGATAAAGTCAAAAGATTTTGACAACAAGCATAACAATAATCAAATAGGTGAAAACTAATGCACCAATATTTTACCTCTGAAGCAAATCACTGAGCCTAACCATAAGAAACTTATGTGCAAGGAAACTTGATGAACTGAAGTGAAATTACTGAAGCATACTAGAAAATAACACAAACCCATTCATACAGAAAGAAGAAATTCTTTTTCGTTTTTTTCCTAATCATGCCGAGGTGTGAGGAAAACGTTAATTTAGACTACAGCTTTATCAGTTTGCAACTATCGCAGATTTCTTTTAAGGCATCAGTATAACCCTACAGGGTGATTCCCTGGCATTTTGTTTTTAAACCTACAAATGATACAGTAATGTGACCAGCTGCAGTTCCCTTCCTGCATTTCTGAAGCTCTGAGTGTCCACACACTTGCAGCTCTGTATAACTTCACACAAAAGACTGGCAATTGGCCAAGAAGCCTCCGCCATGGCGTATATTCCCCAAAGTTCAAGATCTGCCATTTAATTACAATTCAGCCATGAAACCACATGTACTTTTGCATATTATACCAACATAAAACAAATCAAATTCCAATTCTAGTTAATAAAGGTACTCCTCCAAAATGCAGAAAGTATAAAGTATATTCTTATAAATGAAGACACTGAAGTATGTAACCTATATTTTTAAAGAGACCTATTCTACTTCATTAATTTTTAAAATTTCCTCAAAGAGTTACTGTTTCCTCATAATCTCACCAATTGCAAGAAAACCCACTACAAACTTGTTATAGCAGAGATTTAACTGTATTTCCAAACTTCCCCATTTAGCATTTCATACACACTGCTAACTGAAAATCAAGAAGAATGAATGTTTTCAACATCTGGTACATACAGGTTGACATGACTTACAACAATGATTGTGAAATTATACCTAAAGAGTGATCAGATCTTAAATTCTGCTCTCTAAAAGTAAGTCTTAAAGAAACATATGGTTCTGTCAATTAGGTAGCTCTGTCATTCTCGTATGTAAGTTTCCTGAGGGAAAAAGCAAAAAACTAGTAAGAACACTCTAACAGCCTGGCTAATGCTTACCTTTCACAGGAAGGAGCACTTTACATGAGCAAATGACAATAAACTGAGCACTAGCCCGTGTGTGAAAATCTTGGGAAGATTTTCATTTTTATTGAAATTGTTATCTACCTCTAGCTTCTCTCTCTTCCAGGTCTGGACATCTTCCACGGAAAGAGTAGTGGTCTGAATGACTAAACCTTAAGATGTGTCATTTAATAGCCACAAATTAATAATGTTAAACCGTTAAAAATTTTAAAGATAGGAAGCCACTCTTTCTTCCTTTTGATGGACATTTTTCTACAATACAATAATCAACTAAGAATGATGTAGACAAGATTAGTACAAAACTCCAGTAGAGTGTAAACCAAAAGTGATTAAATTCAGACTTTAAATCCTCATTCCTGTCCCGTACTGCTTTCGTGTGACATTTAAGGGCTGGATGGCTAAAAAAGATCTCCAAAGGGATCTTTCAAATGGCTTTTTTTCCCTTCAATGTCAAAAACCTTTTGAGAGTAAACTGATTAAAGAATTATTCATCATAATTTACTAGTCAAGGAAAAATACTTGCTTCACACTGAAGTTAAAACTGCAAAAAACACTGTCCTTCTGAGCATACCAAATGAAGATGAATTATTTAACATTACTGTAATCTAAATAACCTAGTTCTAAGTAGTCACAAAAATCGGTACTTATTTCATTGTCATTTATATGAAACAGACATGCATATTATATTACAAAGAGAGAACAGGGCCTCCAATCTCCTTTTAAAGGATGTGATACTTAAAAAAAAAAAAAAAAAAAAAAAATAGCCTGAAAGGCTACACATGAAATTCTTAACATTTATCTACAGAGGAGGAGACGAGAATGGATCTGTGCTGGGAGAGGGGTGACTGTCAAAACAGTTTTTAAACCAAGAAGTTACGTTTTCAAGATTACATAACAAAATGTTAACTGGACAATTAAAACATGGGCTTGGGTTTTTGTTTTGTTTTGAACACCACTGTGTATCTTATTCTTCAATTAAAAACCAAATAAGAAAAATAAAAATAATTATAAAGAACAACCACAAAGAAGTACTTTTCATTGCCCTGAAGCTTATCAGGATGGACAAGGAACAGAGGGGTGGGAAAGAGGAGGCCCAGAAGTTGAAGGGAACAATGCAGAGTAAAATCTGAATGAATAAAGACAGGCATTCCTGATGGCTCCAATCCCCTATGCATCCTAACAAAACTAAAAGGAGGTAATGGCAGTAGCAACTGGTTTAGAGATTGATGGGGGAGGGGAAAGAGTGAGGGAAATGAGGAAACCCTTACACACACTGAGTAAGGAATATCATCTCCAGAAAATATTAATACTTACCAGTAGGTACTGTAGCTACTGCAATCCATACACACTGTATGCTGAGGTTTATCTTGCTTTTCTGATTTCTTATGATTAGTTAAGGGTACTTGTGCATCTTCATAATGTTTTTTTGCATGGCCATTCACATACCTTAAAACCAAATAAATTTTTATTTTAATCTAAATATTGCTTTGGAAGTTAAAATACTAGATAATAAAATTAGATGATAATCAAATTAGAATGAGAAAGAATTCCTCCTTATAAGAGCATTCAATCCTAAAGAGCATTCAATTAGTGATTAAGCTTAGTGCTTAAAATATGCTTTTTTGCAATCAAACATGACAGTCAACTTTTAATTACACACAAGATTAGGGCCAGACAAGGAAAGGCTCATCTATGCAAATCAGTTTCAATATCACAGCTATTATCACTTATCAACTCCTTTGCTGATGCTTTTGCTATAGCTTTTTCCTTTTTTTTTTTAAGCTTTTCTCAGACTGCTAACCAACTCAGGTTATTCTCAAAGGCAAGATTTGTAAACTAAATCACTCAACCACTTCCCACAGGGCCATAGACTGTGCTTGGACTGCTGTTTATGAAAGTCAGATAGGGAAACAGGATAATCTCTTTCTCATCAATATGGCTTCAGATATTTTATTCAAATGCCTAAATAATTAGCTCCACTCAAATGGAAACACATTTGTTTTAAAAACAATACAAAGTACAAATCATCTTAAGCTTATATAAACTATTTCTTTACATGGACAAAGATAATTAAAGGTTGACTATATTCATAACAATTTTCTAACACTTTCTAACTCAGATTTAATAAATCAGTGTATTACAGAAAGCAGAATGAAACTGAAATAATGCACATGGCGCAACCACCCAAGTTCCTCTAAACCTCCACCTAAATACTGTACAATGTCGTAACTGGCCAGTACTATGAAGACCCTTATAAAACAAAACTTCCCATTTCCTAGAAAGTAGTCAATTTATAGAAGGCAAGACCTTATTGAAAACTCAGTCAAAACAAATGTTGGTCAAATGGTACCAAAATAAACATACTCAGAGAGTTAAAGTAATGTTTTGTCATGAGGCACCTTAATTATACCAGGAGCAACACTCACCTTGGGGAAAGTAGAACAATTGGGGTAAAGAGGGAGGACAACTTCAGGCCCTGCCTCTACCTTAGGAAAGCTGGAAGCATTAGAGGCACTACTAACCTCAACTTGGATTTTGATGGGTTTTTTCCCATTTTTTTCATTATAGTAAACATAACCAAAAATCGTGTGTATTTGGGTCCTCTGTCCACAAAAGTAAACTAAAATCAATTTTTAAAATAAAATATGATTAAGAGTATAAGCTCAAAAATTAGACTGCCTGAGTTCAAAAGTAGCTTTGTCACATGCTGGCCACTTGAGCTTAGGATGAGTTACTTAACCTCTCTCTGCACTTAACATTTTCTCATCTGTAAAATGGAGGTGACAGTACTTTTATTTCATGCGTTGTTAGGTGATTAAGAAATTCATGGCTCAGAATGCATAAATGAATGAATAGATGTTGGTAATTATTTTATTCATGTTTTCCTTTATATGCTTAACTACTATTTATTCAGAATTCGAACAATATAATTGTTTAGAAAGTGGTCATATTAAGCACATACATTGCATAGGTGAAGAAACACCCAATACTTAATTAAAAAGGTAAACTCCAAGGCATCGTATAGGTTCCATATCTAATCAGCTCAATTTCCTATGCTTATAGAATTTATCCTGTGCCACGAGAAACAAAGTATTTATAACGAGCACCTTCAAAATCAAAGAAAAAGCAATACTGAACAATGATAATAAGGCATCACTTTTAGGTCTTTGAAAACTGATCATCTGTACATAGTACATATAGTTCATTTAGCCACCACACTGTAGAGTCTCTAAATGTACTAGATGTTTAAATGGTTACTGTAGGCATTGCTGAAAAGTAAGAAGTATATTACTGCTGACATTAAGATTAGTAATGTTTTGCCTAATATTCAAATACACTACTCACAAGTTAACAATTAGGTATAAACTGGATAAATACTTCCCTCATCTAATCTTAGATTTTAACTGGGAAATCTGGTCTAAAAAGGAAAAGCGTCAATATATATGTCACAGATTTCTAACCATAATCACAAAAATTTGAAAAATAAATGGGATGATGTCGTGAAGGTCAACAGAATATACAACTCAAACATGCTACTGATAAATTGAAGGAATATTCAATTTAAGACTTTCTGCAGAAAACACGCCTAGAATTACTGAAAAATCAGGATCCTTGGCAATCAACACCCAGGGTCACATGATAAAAGAAAATTAACCAATTAGCTATGTAAAAAGAAGATCCAAATGCAAGCTACTCCCATTATCTGTTTAATCTACTTAATCATTTCTCTGAAACTGCGTTAAATTTCTCAATTTAAGACTGCTTACAATTGGAAACAGACTACCTGCAGAGCCTAGAAATTTTTCAATTTATTTTTCCAAAACCTACTTAGACAACTATTTGTCCCTTGCTATTAAGAACATTAACCTCTCCAATTTTTGAGAGTTTGTCAAGTCTTTTTATTGGCATATGACCTTCAAGATTTAGGCCGTAGAGCACTATGAGACAAGGAGAACAGAACTATATAAATTTTATTGCATTATAATTCTCACCTCTCAAAATCTAGGAGAGGAATCTGTCTCTTCAAGTGAAGAATTTAAGTGCTTCTACTTTTCTTCTTTTTTTTTTTTTAATGTTATCTGTACAAAGTATTTTCAGGTTCCCCAAATCCTAGAGATTTCAAAACCACAACAGCCACAATTAAGATATGCAGTTAACATTTTCCAAAGGTACTTTTAAGTGTACATGGAAAAAATACTCAATTCCATGACTCAAAATGTGAAAAATCAAAAGTTAACTGAACACAGATGCTCTCTTCATGCAATGAGGGTTTAAAAATAACAATGGGGAAATAGTCCTAATAAATACAATGTAGATATCAGCCTGTGTGACAGTATGATTTCCCATTCTCTTGCTGCTAAGCTATACTTCTAAGTAAATTCAAAGTGGATTTTCTAAGTTAAAAGAGCAATAGAAATAAATGTGCTGTCAAGCTAAAAAAATGCAAAGGCTTGATATTGAGTTTGAGTTCGAAGACAAAAGTTACTAAAGTATTTAAGTAACATCATTTTGAAGCCAAGAATGGGGAGGAAATGCTCAGGCTTGAACAAAATCTGGGGGGTAGGGGGTGTTAAGTCCCTGGAAAACAAAAATATCTTAATGGAACAATGGAACATTTCGTACATTTTAGACAGCAATTAATAATGAACTCCACAACGAGACCCTTTTCAAGGGAATTCCTTTATCTATAAACATTTTGTTGTTTTGTTTTCAGAAGAATGATTTGATTCAAAAATCAGAAAAGCGGGCGCCTGGGTGGCTTAGTTGGTTAAGCGACTGCCTTTGGCTCAGGTCATGATCCTGGAGTGCCGGGATCGAGTCCCACGTCGGGCTCCCTGCTCAGCGGGGAGTCTGCTTCTCCCTCTGACCCTCTTCCCCCTCATGCTCTCTATCTCTCATTCTCTCTCTCTCAAATAAATAAATAAAATCTTTAAAAAAAAATAAATCATAGGAAGACAGTGATTAAAAAAAAATCAGTAAAGCTGGGAATAGTGTAGGCAATAAATGAAACAAGTTTGGCAATGTTTGATCACTGCTGAAGCTGGGTGATGAAAATAATGGGGTTCAATTATATTACCTCTATACTTTTGTATATGCTTAAATTTACCCTATTAAAAGGTTTAACAAACAACCATTAAGGTAAACTTTTATTTAAAGAATTCAAAGTTCCCTCATTTCATCTTTTCAATCAAATATTACTAAATTATCTGATCATCAAATTAATTCTTGTGAGTACCAATATAAATAAAGGGTTTCCCCCTAGATTTTCCTCAGTTGTATTACTGAGCAAACAGACTCCCCTGGGAAAGGGAAGACTTACAGAATTTTACATACAATGATTAAGCAATGGTGCTAATAAATCCAAGTCACTAAAACCTTGACATAAAGCCCAAGGCAAATTGAAAAAAGCAAGTAGGGTAGTGAAGTAATAAGTATGTTACCTACCTTCCACAGTGGACACTTGAACAAGTCAAACAGACCCAGGGGCTTTTGTTGGAGCGGCACACTAATAAAAAGAAAAATACACAATATACCAATTGTATCATGTTACTTTCCAGTTTCTCCCCTAATCTGTAATATCATATCCTGTGATTAAGTTATAAATTCCATGGCTGCTTAGGGGTACTGAAATCACAAATCTCTGCTTTGTGAGTGCATTTACACAGAAAGGCTGCCTAATTACAGTTATATTGAAAAGAACTGAAATGCATGTCCACAACGGCTATCATTTTAATTGCTGACTCAAATAGTTCAACCACAAGTTAAACATATATATGCTTTTCCTTTATTATTTATTTCTTTTAGCCACAGTCTCCAACAAGCTGACAGTCTATTTTCTCTTAAAAACATTTTTTTAAGTCTAATTTTTTAATCACAAGTCTTTGCCAGGCAAATTACATACTACTATAAATGACAACTCTTTCAGGTTACCTAATGAGAGAGGCATAACCTAAAGATACAATTAGGAAGACTAAATCCAGTTCTTCCCAAATTAATATCTTGGTTGCATAAAATATAATTCTACATATGACAACTGCATTTAATTCTTGCTGAGCATATAATCGACATTAATTATTTTAGTTTTAATATTATAGGGATGAGGCAGGCAAGAAAAAAATGAAAACTTTAAAAACACTGATTATAGTTTTGCTTGTGGTTTACTCATTCAACCTAAAAAAAAAAAAAAAAGCCCAATAAACATAACAATGATTTTCAAAAGGGAAGGGGCATAAAAATCACCTGGAAAGCTATTTCAAAATGCGTATGTTCTACTCAGGCAGAGATATCTACATTGGGGTTGGGACAGAGGACAAAGAACATGGATGTTTTGAGAAAAGTAGCTTCCCAGGTGACTACCTAATACAACCCCCTGAGAACCACAAGTCCACATCCTAGGGGTATGGGAGGGGCACCAAAGCACAACCACACACTCAGGAGTACAATAAATTCACCACCTGGCACATAGTATGTGCTCAGTAAACACTTGTTGAAAGTTCAAATTTCCTAGTTTAAGACACCAAGCTCTTCCAAGTTCTGGTCCCTACTGTACTGCTCTTGCCTTATACATCACAACAGGCCTTTCTCCCTGTTAAGAAAAATTAACCAAAACTGGAAAAAAGATTCATCAAGAACTGTAAGCCCTTTCAATGTATAATGAAACATTGTTTAATAGGTCCTCCCAAAGATATTTTATTAATAATAGCTTGATCTGCTGTTTACTTTTGATTAGGACCCAGATTCTATGAAGTTACAGGTAAACTTCTAGATTTTTTTTTAAAGATTTTTATTTATTTATTGAGAGAGAGAAAGAATGGTAGAGAGAGAGCATGAGAGGGAAGAAGGTCAGAGGGAGAGGCAGACTCCCTGCTGAGCAGGGAGCCCGACGCGGGACTCCAGGATCATGACCTGAGCCGAAGGCAGTCGCTTAACCAACTGAGCCACCCAGGCACCCTAAACTTATAGATGTTTATTTGGTAGAGACAGTATCTGTCCAGCATGCTCCAAAGGTAATGGTTTTACCACCCAGTAGGACATTAACCTAATTTTACATTGAGTTTAGCCATTTATTTCAATGTTCTTTCTTTAATACCTGCATACACTCAATTCCTCAAATGTTTCTAGAATCAGCTTTACCATCCTGCTGGTTTCCTCATTAATGAGTTAAATAAATCTCTGACATACGTTCATTCTGTATTTGTATGGGAGGGAAGGAAGAGGTGGGCAAGGAAGAATAGGGAAAGCACAATGATACACTGCCCAAGGGATTCTACTTGTCTGGCCAGCACAGGGCCCTAACTATTTTTGAATATGAAAACTGCGTGGTAAAATTCCCTTCTGGCAAGCAAGGGTCCTACCTTTCCTTAGTGCATTCACACATTTACATTAACCGCCAGGGCCATCCTGAAGGCATTTGAGTTTTTTACTCATTTGGGTCCAATTTTATTATATGTGCATGTAAGCTACATGACCAAAAGGCCAAGAATACCTGTCCAACTGCTAACAACAATTATTACAGGCAGGTACACGAAAAGACCATATTTGAGAGGAGACTGTTGGCTTTTTATTTGTACACCCCCGTGCTTTTGATTTGTATCAATAAGAATATGATGTTTTTACAGAGGAGCATAGGGGAAGGGAGGGAAAAATACAAGACAAAATCACAGGGAGACAAAACCATAAGGGACTCTTTATTTTTTTTTAAAGATTTTATTTATTTATTTGAGAGAGAGAGAATGAGAGATAGAGAGCACGAGAGGGAAGAGGGTCAGAGGGAGAAGCAGACTCCCTGCTCCTTGGGACCCTGCTTCTCCCTCTGCTTCTCTCTCTCTCTCCCCCTCTGTCTCTCATGAATAAATAAATAAAATCTTTAAAAAAAAAAGGAAACAAACTGAGGGTTGCAGGTGATGGACATTAAGGAGGGCACGTGATGTAATGAGCACTGGGTATAAGATTATGAATCACTGACCTCTACCTCTGAAACCAATAATACATTGTATGTTAATTAATTGAATTAATTGAATTAAAAAAATTTTTTAAATGTTTTTATAGTTTGAAAAGAAAGTTCTATAAAGTATATTTTTTAAAGAAAAATAAATTAGAACACAGCTTACTTGAAATAGGTATTCATGGTTTGAGATATAATTTGGAGGACTGAAAAACTAAGAATATTACTGTTTTGTTCCTCCAGCAAATCTCTTTTCCTCTTAGTAAATACTAAGAAACATCATAACTCAATCTGGGAAAAAAAGCTGTTGAAGTTTAGTATTAACCTGAAATAAATAATTATGTTACAATAGTAAGTTTAGGCCCAAGTTTTTGACATCTAGAGTTTGTTTTCATTTTAATTATGGAAGATTTTTTCCTCCTTTAAATGAGAAAAAGAAAATCTAGAGCAAAATCACTGTTACTTTCATGTGTTTTCTACCAAGCGTTCCTTTGTTCCCCCTTATAGTTGGAAATATACACACAGCACATACAATTTCATGATCTAACTTTTCCACTGTCAATATATTATTTTTTAAAAGATTGTATTTATTTGAGAGAGAGAGAAAGAGAGAGAGCAAGCACTAGTGGGGGACAAACAGAGAGGGAGAAGCAGATTCCCCACTGAGCAGAGAGAGCCCAATGCAGCTAGATGCAGGACTTAATCCCTGGATCCCAAGATCATGACCTGAGCCGAAGGCAGATGCTTTAATCGACTGAGCCACTCAGGCGTCCCTCCACTGTCAGTATATTAAATGCATTTCTGCATGTTATTGAATTTAGAACAGTGTACTCTATATCTAGTCTTATAATATCTCAATTACCTCAAAAAGTTTTATTAATTTTTTAATTTCTCAATTTCAAATTTTAAAATGGCACCCTGAGGCTGAGGGGAGAAAAAATTGGGGAATAACTGCTTGATAGGTGCAGGGTTTATTTTGGGATGATGAAAGTGTCTTACAACTAGACAGAGGTGGTGGTTACCGATGTACTAAATGCCACAGAATTGTCCATTTTAAAATGGTTAATTTTATGTTATGTGAACTGTACCTCAATAAAATAAGTAAATAAACAGGTACTTTAGACAGGGATGAGGAGAGAGAGTAAAAGGAAAAAGTACTGACTTTTAAAAACATTGCAAACAAGTGACTGTGCCTTTTAGTAAATCTCAAGAGTTCCCTTTCTGAGTTAAGAAACCGGACTTCTTCTATCATGAATATTTATAATAAGAAAGTTAAAAATATGTGATAGGACAGTTGGTCTTGACTATTTAAATGATAGTACCTTCTGAGGGCTTAATACTTTAACACCTAAGAGACATCTGAAAGCTAAAAAGCTACAGAGAACAGGGTATGATGGGGCATTCTGAAGCCATTTACTGTACTGCATCGGGGGATGTTCACTGTTTCTACAGACCTTATCCAAATTAGAACCTTTCATGTACCCAAAACAATTATAAAATAGGATGAAAAATATTGGCTTTAAATTAAACTAATTCTCAATTATTGTTAAGAATAGAACAGGACATAACATGAATAAAAGAACACTACAAATAATCTTAAAATTATTTTATCACCTAAGGGGCACTTTTAGGTGATAAAAGTTTATCTGTAGGATGAACATATTTCCCATGGAAACAGTATTAGAGGTTTCCAGGCTCTTCTATAAAACTCTACGTGAACCATAACATAACTGAAATAATGTGCAGTTGACCCTGGAACAATGCAGGGGCTAGGAGTCCCAACCCCCGCAGTTAAAAATCCACATATAACTTCTGACTTTACTAATAGCCAAAAAACTTTACTAATAGCCTGTTGTTGACCAGAAGCCTTACTGATAACATAAACAGTCCATTAATACATATTTTGTATATGTATTATATACCTCATTCTTACAATACAGTAAGCTAGAGAAAAGAATGTATTAAGAAAATCTTAAGGAAAATACATTTACAGTACTGCACTATGTTAACTGAAAAAAATCCACATATAAGTAGGCCCACATAGTTCAAACCTGTGTTGATTAAGGGTTAACTGTGTATATATATTTAAAACAAAAACACACATAGTCAATAAAAATGTTTTTAAGCTATCCAGTGAAACATAAAAATATTAAACTGAAGTAGTTTTTATTTTTTAAATTTTAAAATTTAGAACTTGACAGAAAGAGTTACGAAGATAGAAACCTAGAGAAGTTCAAAAAGATAAGTCCAGGGGCGCCTGGGTGGCTCAGTTAAGCGTCTGCCTTTGGCTCAGGTCATGATCCCAGGGTCCTGGGATGGAGCCCCGCATCGGGCTCCCTGCTCAGTGGGAAGCCTGCTTCTCCGTCTCACACTCCCCCTGCTTGTGTTCCCTCTCTCCCTGTTAAATAAATACAATCTTTAAAAAAAAAAAAAAAGGTAAGTCTAAGAACTTATTAGGGCTCTTTTTAGTACACCTAATTACACTTCAAGGTGACGTCACAGCAAGAAAGCTGGGCAGTGTATTTCTCACACTGTTACACTTGGCCACAACAGGATCACTG